AAGGATTCCCTGACACAGCAGGAAAGTAGTTAACGGCTTACAATGCCATTCCGAACTACTTTACTTCCTTTGGAAAGGTCTCCTGCAAAGGAACCACCAGCCAGGACCGAGATCCACTCCAGAATAGGAGCACTGCCATGAAACAGGAACCAAGCATCACAAGAGAACACCTGAAGCGACCACCGTACAGCTTAGCAGATCGACCTCCTCCACGACAAAAATAAGGAAGCCATCTCCAGCAGACTGGACCAGATACAGGAACTCTTGCATGCCGAATAACCAACAGGAACTAGAACAAAGAACCAGGAACCAAGCATCACAAGAGAACACCTGAAGCGACCACCGTACCACTTAGCAGATTGACCTTCTCCACGACAAAAATAAGGAAGCCATCTCCAGCAGACTGGTCCAGATACAGGATCTTTTGGAAGCAGAAGAACCAGGCATGATACGACACAGACAGAACAGGAAAGCTGCAAAGTCCACTCTACGAACTCCAAGTGCCTACGGCCATCTGTCACGGGTGGAGGTCCGGAAACCGGGACCCCTAAGTGCCTGATGAGAAGTTGGGAGTCTTCAGCATGGAAGCGGATTACAGGGCCTGGTGCAGGGTAACCGCACGCCCCCTGGTGTTGAGCACCAGCGTTTGTGCGGCCACAAACCAAAACCCTGATGCAGCTACAGCGGATCCCAGGAACTAGGAGCTTGATATGCAGACCTCCCAGGAGCTGAATAGGGGGGCTCTGCAGCAGACATGTATCCAGTACAGAAACAAGGCAAGGTTAGGATAGTCACCAAACATGAAAACAAGACAGAACTAGTAGAACCCAGAACCAGAGAAGGACAGGAAGCTAAACTCAGAACATGTACACAATACATAAGGGAACATTAACTAAACAGGGGCAGGACAGGACTGTACATGGACTAAAACAAGACAAGATATGATAGGCAAAACAAGAGAATACAAAACTAAGCACTATATATGAAAAGTATGGGGATTTAGTTACATTATATAATCATACATTGCATAAGCCTGCCACAACGCCAATGTACCCCATATTCGGCAGGTCCTACACTGCCTAATGTTCGCTAAAAGAGCCATACTAAACCACAATAGCACTTACCTGCAAGATAGGGCAGAGACTTGAAACACTGCTGCAGGTCCAGACTGAAACAAAAGGAAAATGGAAAACAAACAGGTGTGGCAACATAAAACAAACATTTAAAGGAAACCTAGACACTGGGAATTCCAGGGACGGATTACAGAAATAAACCCAGAAAAACCCAGCATAAAGAAAACCAGACATAGAATAGAAAACCAAAAAAACAAGAAAAACTAAACAAGAATTGTAAAACGTACTGGATACCAGAAGCCATCACCAGACTCATCCGCAGAATAAGGCATGATGTGACAACATGTTCTGGGTTCTATTAGTTCTGTCTTGTTTTCATGCATGGTGCCTATCTCTAGTCTTGTTATCCTAGTTTTGTCTTGTTTTCATGTATGGTGCCTATCTCTAATCTTGCCTTGCTTCAGTACTGGATACATCCCTGCTGCAGAGCCTCCCTATTCAGCTCTAGGAGGTCTGCTTAATTCCTGCTCCTAGTTCCTGGGATCCGCATAAGCTGATTCAGGGTTCTGGTTGTGGCTGCATAAACGCTGGTGCTCAACACCAGGGGGCGTGCGGTTACCCTGCACCAGACCCTGCTAATCCACCTCCACACTGTGACTCCTACTTATAACATCAGGCATAGTGGGCCGCCCTGACAGTGTCTGGGTCCCGGACAACGGACCGCCACTCTAACAATTTTTCAACTCCACTATCATTTACCCACAATTTCTGATTAGTCAATAGCTCCCAAGAATGTATATATTGTTACCCTAAAACTGATTAGTCAGTGTAAAACACTATATTTGTAGATGTCTTAATTTTGATTCATTAAGGAGCTTGAATATTTAACAATCACAGTCAGTGGCGTAGATACCAGGGTCGCCAACCCTGCGACCCGGTATGTACCTACTGGGCCAGCCTCTTCTCCTGGGGGGCCCAGGAGCCGGCCACCTCAGGGCCCCCCCGAGGCTGGCCCTGCTGACCCCAGTGGGCGGGCGAGCGGGATGTCTGGGTGGCCGGTGTTCGAGGGAGCACTCTCCCCTGAGTGCTTCCTCTTCAGCTCCCTCGCGCACCGCACTGATACCGGAGCCGGAAGATGACGTCATCTTCCGGCTCCGGTATCCCTAGGCGGCGCGCGAGGGAGTTGAAGAGGAAGCACTCAGGGGAGAGTGCTCCCTCGCGCGTCGGCCACCCAGACAGCCCACTTGCCCGCCCGCTGGGGTCAGCAGCACCACCACTGGACCCCAGGGAATCCCCCCAGCACTCCAAAAGGTAAGGAGGCTGTGGGGATTCAATTTTAAAAAAACATGTGTTAGTGTGTGTGTGTTAGTGTGTGTGTGTGTGTTAGTGTTAGTGTGTGTGTGTAATTGTTAGTGTGGGTGTTAGTGTGTCTGTTATTGGGTGTGTCTGTTACTGAGTGTGTCTGTTACTGAGTGTGTATGTTACTGAGTGTGTCTGATGTCTGTTAGTGAGTGTGTGTTTGTCAGTGAAAGTGTATGTTTTGTAAGTGAGTGTGTATGTATGTCTGTCGCTGAGTGTGTCTCTGTCAGTAAATGTGTGTGTCTGTTAGCTAGTGTGTATGCGTCTGTTCGTGAGAGTGTGTGTCTTCAGCATTTAACTTTCTCCAGCGCTGGACTTCCTTGGCACTGGGGATCCCTCCGCCTCTCGGCTCCGAATGCACATGCGCGGCAAGAGGCGCGCGCATTTAAACCGCCCATAGGAAAGCATTACTCAATGCTTTCCTATGGACGTTCAGTGTCTTCTCACTGTGATTTTCACAGTGAGAATCGCGGAATCTCCTCTAGCGGCTGTCAATGAGACAGCCACCAGAGGCTGGATTAACCCTCAGTGAAACATAGCCGTTTCTCTGAAACAGCTATGTTTTCAGCTGCAGGGTTAAAACTAGAGGGACCTGGCACCCAGACCACTTCATTGAGCTGATGTGATCTGGGTGTCTGTAGTGGTCCTTTAGGTGTGTGTGCAGCATACCGCATTCGCGGGGTCGCAGCCCTGCGACCAGGTGCCCGCCGCCATGTGTTGCGGCCCCGACCTGCGCCGAGTAAGCTAATAGGAAATAGCCAAATAGGAAATACTAGATAATCTTATACAGATATATGTATACACAATATTATATATTATTGAGATATGACATTATTAAAGAGTAGTAGGAGAAAAGGTATTTTTTTTTTGGGAGATAAGAACCTTTTGAACTTAGTGCTCACTGTTTCAAACAATAGTACTTTTAAAAAAAATATCAAATCTACTCACATTTTCAAGAGCACCTTTTGCTCAATGATATCAGCTTGGGTGGTATTATTATTATGATATTTATAGAGCGCCATCAAATTCTACAGCGCTTTACAATGGGTGGACAAACAGACATGTAGTTGTAACCAGACAAATTGGACACACAGGAACAGAGGGGTTGAGGGCCCTGCTCAATGAGCTTACATGCTAGAGGGAGTGGGTTAAAAAAAGGTAAGGATAGTATTAGACTAGTGACAGTTGCAGAAGAGGAACCAGTCAGGAGCTATTAACAGTTTAATTGATACGCTTTTATGAAGAAGTGGGTTTTTAATGATTTTTTGAAGGAGTGGAGACTGGGTGAGCATCTAACGGAGGAGGGAAGCGAGTTCCACAGGAACGGTGCAGCCCTCGAGAAATCTTGAAGGCGAGCATCAGAGATGGGAGCACGGACAGAAGATAGACGTAAGTCTTCAGCAGATCGTAAGGGCCTAGACGGGACATACTTGTGTATAAGGGAGGATAGATAGGTGGGAGCAACATTATTTAGAGATTTGAAAGCAAGAACCAGAATTTAAAATTGAGCTCTATATGTGTTAGGGTCAAGATTGGGCTTCTTTAGAATTGGGGTTACAGTTGCATGTTTGAAGGGTGGTGGAAATATACCAGAGGAGAGAGAGAGATTGAGAATTTTAGAGATGGAGAAAGAGAAGAAGACAGAGTACAGATGAGATGCGAGGGAATTGGATCTAGGGAGCAGATGGTGGAGCGGGAGGACTGGAGCAGAGCAGAAACCTCTTCCAATGTAGCGGATGCAAATGAACATAGAAATGCAGATGAAGTGAGGTTAGGGGAAGTATTGTAAGGGGAAGAAGAAAGATGAGAGATCTCTTCTCTGATTGTAGAGACTTTGTCAGTGAAGTGAGTTGCAAAGTCTGAGGCGGTCAAGTTAGTAGGTGGAGGAGGAACAGCAGGGCGAAGAAGAGAGTTAAATGTGTGAAATAGTCGTTTGGGTTCGCGGGAGAGTGTGTTTATGAGGGTATTGAAGTGATTAACGTTTGCAGAGGAAAGAGCCAAGATGTATGAGCTCAGCATAAATTTATTGTGGAGGAAGTCAGATGCACAGTGAGACTTACTCCAACAGCGTTCAGCAGTTCTGGAGCATTTTTGGAGGTATCGAGTGAGCTTGGTGTGCCAGGGTTGTTGTTGGGGGCGCCTGCGGTGTTTAAATGTACAAGGTGCCATGATGTCTAGTTAAGAGGAGAGGGTGGAATTGTAGAAGGAGGTTGCAGAACTAGGACAGGTGAGGTTTGAGATAGGTAAAAGGAGAGTTTAGAGATTAGTGGAGAAATGCTCTAGGTCATGCTATCTATATACTCAGCAATATCCAGTGAAGTAGCATTGGGGTTTGACGTTCCATCGAAAAAGGGACTATAAAGACACACTGTTTTATAGTTTTTTGACTTGTACAATTATTATATTCAATTAGCAAATAGGTAAAGCTGCCTTTTCAGTGTTCATTTTGGCAATGGGAAATAAAGCCTGACAAGTCACTGATTAGATAGCTAAGTGGTAATTTGTTGCTAAATTGTATTTATTTCCTCACACACCTTTACTGTCAAGTAAATTTCAATAAGCTACTTTGTTTCATCCAAATACTCTTCTACAGCTATGCATATTCGATGACTCAATATTTGATGACTCAATTGTGAAGAACAATAAAAATAATGTGTCCCTCTATAAAGTTGTATTTCCTCCAAAACTTGAACAGCCTACACTCGCAGTCATTGGTTTAGTCCGCTCTTTAGGGGGAATCCCACCAACTACTGATGTACAGACTAGTTGGGATGTCAGTGTTATTCAGGGTAAGTGGATAAATGCGATTAACATTTAATTGACATTACTTATCAGTTTATCAATGTGGAATGCAAATAATTACAATTCCACAATGTTTACAGGTAATGGAATATTGAAAAACTATCATCGCACAGTGGATCTGAAATGTTAATAACATTTGCAAGAGTTGATAGGAGAAAAGAAAATGTCATGATTAGACTTGGGCACAACAGAAATCTTTGGCTCGTTCAAATGCATTTGGTAACCATAAGGTAATTTGGTTCAGCTGAAATTCGGACTGTATTTTCGGTTCAGGAATTTTATTCAGGGGGTGTAACTAGATTAATTTACAAAAGTGCCAATTTCTGTAAAAATCTGCACTTTTTATAAAGTAAAACAAGAGGGCACTTCAGCAAGATAAAGTGTTTTAGGGATCTGGAGTGTCTCTTTAACAACCACCCACAACACGCATTTAGGTCCATTTGTTTTCTGCGCTAATTGTATGTGTTTTATTTTAAATTGCATATTCTGGTCAGATCAATTAATCTTTGTGTTGGTAAAGAAAATGGATCAAACTCCCAAAAAGAGAGCACAAAACCAATCACATTACGCACAAAGAGGTATATATTTAAACACAGATATAAAGCAAAACAGAGAATATATATTTAACTCCTTAAGGACTGAGCCAGTTGTACAAGTTGTGATAAAAAAAAAAAAAAGTAAACAAAATCTGGCATCTGCGCTATATGTCTGTCCAACCGTAATTCACCTCTTTCATATTAAATGCACTCACACTTACCATATATCATTTTATTCAGGAGAAACAGGACTTTCATGTCACATCAAATATTTTTATATTAAACATAATTTAATATGAATAAAATTTTAAAAAACTGTTAAACATTAAGATTTTTTTTATTTCTTTAGTACTGCATGGCATTTTAACTGTGAATGTCATAATACTGTTAGCTGTTACTACAATAAAATGCACAAATTTGTATATAGTGAAGTCTCACAAGTAAAATAGTACCCCCTAATTACAAGTTTTATAGTGTTTTGGAAAGTTACAGGGTCAAATTTAGCACATTACATTTTTTAGTTTATACACATTGAAATTTACCACACTGGTTATGTTGCATTTAAGATTGTATGGTAGCCCAGAAATGAAAATTACCCCCATGATAGTATACACTTTGCAAAAGTAGACAACCCAAAATATTATAAATGGGGTATGTCCAGTCTTTTTTAGTAGCCACTTAGTCACAAACACTGGCCAAAATTAGCATTCTAATTTGTCTGTGTGTGAAAAATGCAAAAAACAGAATTGAACGATAATTTTGGCCAGTGTTTATGATAATAAATTGGGTTGTCTACTTTTGCAAATGGTATACTATCATGGGGGTCATTTTCATTCCTGGGATACCATACGGTCTCAATGGCAACATAACCAGTCTGGCAAATTTCAATGTGAAAAAAATGGAAATGCAAGTCTTATATTACACTCTGTAACTTTTGAAAACACCATAAGACCTGTACATGGTGGGTACTGTTATACTCGAGAGACTTTGCTGAACACAAAAATTTGTGTTTCGAATCATTACAACTTATCACAACAATTATATCATCAGTGAAAGTGCCGTTTGTGTAAAAATGCCAATTTTATCATTGTTGTGATATGTTTTACGGTTTTTAAACACTAATATTTGTGTTCAGCAAAGTCTCCTGAGTAAAACAGTACCCCTATGCAGTGCTGTATCCTGGTTTTGTGCTGCCCTAGGCAGGACAAAACTCAGGCACCCTCCCTCCCCACCCCCCCGCACCAGGCACCCCCAAGCCTTCTAAATACACACACACACATTCACTGACAGATATGCATACACTCGCTAACAGAAACACACACACACACACACACACTAACAGACACACACTCACTGACACACACACTCACAGGCAAACACACTCACACTAACAGACACACACTAACAAACACACACACATTAACAGACACACACTCACTGACACACACACTTACAGGCAAACACACTAACACTAACAGTCACACAGTCAGACACACACACTAACAGACACACACACTCACTCACTAGCAGACACACACACACTCACTGACACACAGTCAGACACACACATACACACTAACAGACACACACAGTCAGACACACACTAACAGACACACACTCACTCACTAGCAGACACACACTCACACATTAACAGACACACTCACTCACATTAATAATTTTTTTTTTATTTACCCCCCCAACCTCACCTTTGGGAATGCTGGGGGGGAGGGTCCCTCTCTCCCTGGGGGTCCAGTGGCTGCTGGGCGGGCGAGCGGCTGGCGAGGGAGCTCTTCCTCTGAGTGGTCTGCTCAGCTCCCTCGCGCGCCGCAGAGTGAGGCTGGGAGCCGGGTTGATGACGTCATATTCCGGCTCCCAGCCTCACTCTGCGGCACGCGAGGGAGCTGAGCAGACCGCTCAGAGGAAGTGCTCCCTCGCCAGCCGCCCTGCCAGCACCGCCCAGCGCCCAGCATGTCTGTTAGCCATGAGGCTAACTAGGCATTTGCCCTGGGCATTTGGGGGGCGGAGTTTTTTGCCACCCCCTGGAAAATGCCGCCCAAGGCAAATGCCTTGTTTGCATCGCGGCTAAAACGCCCCTACCCCTATGTACAGGTTTTGTGGTGTCTTAAATTGGAGAGGGGAGACTCTCTGGGCTCAGTCCAGAGAGTCCCCCCAAAGAAGAAAAACGATCGCCGGCAATCGGTAAGTACATAGGAAAGGGGGGAGGCTGGGTAAGGGGTAATTTTAATTATTTTTTTTAACTATTCTTAATTTTAGAACTATTACTGAGTGCCTCGACCACTCGAGGCACTCAGTAAGGGAAAGACAATCTGAAGCCAGCGGATGGCTTCATATTCTCTTCCCTATACTGCCGGGCGCGGATCGTTCGGCAAACCCGGAAGTTATCACTCTGGGGGGCGATCGCTTGGGTTCCCGGAAGTGTAGGGGGGTATTCCATGATGCCTTGATATCGAGGCATCGTGAAATACCATCAGAGTGGCTGGAAGCGATCACGATTGCTTCCAGCGCTCAAAATAGCCGTGGACGTCCCAGATACGTCTGAGGTCGTTAACGACCGCTTTTTGTCGGATGTACCTGGTACGTCAGCGGTTGCGAAGGGGTTAAGGGGAATAGACTTAGTTCCCTTTCCCCTTATCTCTCTATGGATTGAGACATGAATGGGTATTTGTAAGAATCCATTAATAATGTGAATGTAAAGAACCAAGACTACTTTTTTATTATACTCATGGCATCTCACTATCAAACTCCTATTTAGTGGTTATGGATTTAATTAACTCTTTTCTTTATTTTAAAGGTATTCTCCAGTGCCAGGAAAACAAATACGTTTCTGGAATTCTGGAGTGCCCCCCACCCCACGTCGCTATAGGGGTTAAAACCCTTTCAAGCACTTATCTGAATTCAGCACAATCTCCCTCTGAGATGGGTCAGGCTCTGCCCATGCTCCTACCCTGTCAACAGGGGAGACCTAATGCGCATGCGTGGCAATGGCCGCGCACGTGCATTAGACCTCCCCATATGAAAGCATTAATCAATGCTTTCCTATGGGGATTCCGGCGACCAAAAGTCATCTAAGAACCTGGAAGTCCCTCTAGTGCAGGCTTCCCCAAACTCCGGTCCTCCAGATGTTGCTGAACTACAACTCCCATGATTCTATGAATGAAATAGAGAGGCTGAGAATCATGGGAGTTGTAGTTCAGCAACATCTGGAGGGCCGGAGTTTGGGGAAGACTGCTCCAGTGGCTGTCTGGTAGACAGCCACTAGAGGAGGACTTAACCCTACAAGGTAATTATTGCAGTTTATAAAAACTGCAATAATTACACTTGCAAGGTTAAGGGTGATGATAGTTTGCACCCAGACCACTTCAATGGGCTGATGTTTTCTGGGTGCCTACAGTGTCCCTTTGAATTTATGTTTTCTGTTCTTTCTTTTGATTTGTGCACTGATGGTGTGTCTCTACCGATGGGGTACATGCCCCCTTGTTTGGGGATATGCGGTGTACATGAGACTATGTCCTCTTGTTGTGGTAGTTTTTCTTCTTTTAAATATAGTCTCCTCCTTTACTGTGTTGATTCCCTTTATATATTTAAATGTTTCTATCATATCCCCCCTGTCTCGTCTTTCCTCCAAGCTATACATGTTAAGATCCTTTAACCATTCCTGGTAAGTTTTATCCCGCAATCCATGAATCAGTTTAGTAGCCCTTCTCTGAACCCTCTCTAAGGTATCAATATCCTTCTGAAGATACGGTCTCCAGTACTGTGTACAATACTCCAAGTGAGGTCTCACCAGTGTTCTGTACAATGGCATGAGCACTTCCCTCTTTCTACTGCTAATACCTCTCCCTATACAACCAAGCATTCTGCTAGCATTTCCTGCTGCTCTATTACATTGTCTGCCTACCTTTAAGTCATCAGAAATAATCACCCCTAAATCCCTTTCCTCAATTGTTGAGGTTAGGACTCTATCAAATATTCTGTACTCTGCCCTTGGGTTTTTACGTCCAAAATGCATTATCTTGCACTTATCCACATTAAATGTCAGTTGCCACAATTCTGACCATTTTTCTAGTTTACCTAAATCATTTGCCATTTGGCTTATCCCTCCTGGAACATCAACCCTGTTACATATCTTAGTATCATCAGCAAAAAGACATACCTTACCATCAAGACCTTCTGCAATATCACTAATAAAAATATTAAAGAGAATGGGTCAAGTACAGATCCCTGAGGTACCCCACTGGTGACAAGTCCAAGCTTTAAATATATTCCATTAACTACAACCTTCTGTTGCCTGTCACTCAGCCACTGCCTTGCCCATTCAACAATATTGGAATCCAAACTTAAAGATTGCAGTTTATTGATAAGCCTTCTATGTGCAACAGTGTCAAACGCCTTACTGAAATCTAGGTAAGCAATGTCTACTGCACCACCCTGATCTATAATTTTAGTTACCCAATCAAAAA